TGTGTGTGTGTGTGTGTTTTTTAACAGACATTGATGAGTGCTCTCAGAGCATTGGGAACCTTTGCTCCTTCCAGTGTGTCAATGTCGCTGGCAGTTATCAGTGTTCCTGTCCTCCTCATGGATACACCTTGTCGGCCAATGGACGCACCTGCAAAGGTGAGGCTTCAATGAACATATAGTTTATATTCAGTGTCCATGGCACCATCTATCCATTATCTTCCATACAGCTTATCCTTTGAGGGTCATGGGTGGGGGGGCAGCTGGGGCCAATCCCAGCTGACTTTAGGTGAGGGGCGGGTACACCCAGTACAGGTCACATTAATATCATAGAGACAACAACCAGCACTCATAGGGGAACATGGAAACCAGGATTCATACTAGGAACCCTCTTGCTGTGAGGTAACAGCAATAAAACACTGTAGCATGATGATTCATTGTATTTTTCCACAACTTAGAAACTGGAAAGTTATTGTTAAAGCAACTCTTAATTGGTCTAAACCAAATTAAAATTGAAATGTAAACTCAATATGTTTAGCTGTGCAGTGCATTAAGTTGTGATATCATGAACTCCTGCAATATGTCATTCAATTCAATTAAATATATATACATTCTCTCAAGGCACTTGATCCTATTCTGAATTTTACAGGGAGCCAATGTAGAGAAGCTAAGACAGGAGTAATATTAATGGTCTATTTTATGTCCTCTCTTCAGTAGAAGCTTTCAAACTTTCTATAGGGAATAAAAACTAAGTCGAAAAGGAACTTGGGTAAAAATGCAGAAAGTAGCTGCTTATTGTGGCTGCCAGAAGAAGTCTGATGATCTTCAAGCCCTTTTAATGTTCCTGACTGTGAAAATCATTTAAATCATTTAAAAATGGCATTGAAGTTTGTGAAAAGAAACAGGATTAACTAAAGAAACCACACATTTTATCTGTCAACTCTGCATTTTGAGGCTTGAAAATGATCAAACTCAAGTCAGGACAAAATCTTCTATGTGCATATTGTTAGAAGTCAGTTATATAGATTTGTACTCAACTCATCTTCATGAACAAGTTTGAAGTTTGACAAAAAGGTTCTGACTTAAAATTTGGTTTGACAGAGTCTCTATTAGCAGATGTCAGAATGGAACTGAGATGGATCTGTTCACATCCAAGCAAAGTTCAAGTTTCTCAGTTTCATCCAAGCAATTAACATTAATGCTCTGGAGGAATAGTTTGACATTTTGAGAAATGCAGCTGCGAGTAAAAGTTTCATACTTAAAATGAGGAGATTGATGCCACTCTATATTTGTAGGCTGTAAGTAATGCTACAGGTCAGCTGTGAGGTTATTAGCTTAGCTTATTTCAACACAGACACCGGGGATAGGGGGGAAAGCTACCCTTAGTCTGACCTTAGTAAAAAAAATATCAACTTCCCTGAACTGTGTGTAGGATTTAGTGGCATCTGGTGGTAAGATCGTAGATAACAACCAACTGAACACCCCTCCCCTCACCCTCCCCTTCTGAGTGGATAACCTACAGCGGCCTCTGAGTAACATAACAACAGAGGAGGTCCTCTCATCACCACGTTTTTGGTTTGTTCGCTCTGGGCTACTCTAGAAACATGGTGGTGCAACATGGTGGCCCACTTTCTCTTTAGATGTAAAGGGCTCCTTCTGAGGAAATGAAAACACATTGAGTCTTAGTTTCAGGTTTCAGTTAAAACTTAACCATGAATATTATATTCCTTTTCAGGCTCTCACAAATCTGACCCTAGTTACCTGTAGCTCTGTGTTGGACAGCTGCACCAACCATGAGTCTTGGAAAGCACTTTGTATCGCAAAGAGAATTTTCTTTTATGTTACTGTTATATCGGTCCCTGCTGGTTGCCAGGTAACCAGTGGAAACAATGAGACTACAAGAAGTCAGTGCATCTGGCCCCAGGTCGACTTTTGCTTAGCTGAGCTCTAGCGTCATAGTTAACACACACAGAGACATGAGAGTGGTGTCAGTCTTCTCATCTAACTCTCAGCTAGACAGTCAATAAGGTTGTTTTATTATGAAGATTAGAAAAATCCAATGACTCCATAATCAAGCTACTGAGCTCAGACTCAATCTGTTGATAGAGATCATGTGGAACCTGTTAAATGCTAAAATAACTTGTGAGTTGACCTTGAGTTAGGATTGTTTTGTCAACTTGTTTCAGTCATATCTAATTGTTTCAGAATTGGTGGTTTCATGTCATGTGTGTTCTTGGTGTCTGTGTTATTGCTCTTCTCTGTGTATAAAATGTATCATATGAGTGCAACACAAATATACTGCATGAGCTACACTCAATTATATGATTGAATTTTAACAAAAATGGGCGGGGGGGAGTCTGTTCAGAATCAAAATTAAAAAAAAAACAGAACTTGTATAGTTTTTATTTATCCTGTTTTTGATTTTCAGATATTGACGAATGTAAAACTGGCACCCACAACTGTTCACATTCACAGACCTGCTATAACCTGCAGGGAGGCTTCAGATGTCTCTCCTTCAACTGTCCTCAGAATTACAAGAAGGTGTCAGACACGTGAGTCTCATTTCTCTTGCACCATCTTTAAAATCATGAATGTTGCCTGTTTCCTATCTGAGTTATGTTGTCACTGCAGAAACGAGTCAGACCCATGGGTTAGGGTTAGTGTGAAGCCATCTTGATCACCCCCCGGTGGGTGGCTCCAGTTTGATTTAGATTTGGGCGAAAGGTCATGGTTGACATTTAAGACTGACTAACAAGTGGTGAGAGCGTTTATCAGCTGGACCTTGCTACTGCCCAGACTGCAATTGAAACCCCCTGCACACTATGCGTGATGTTTTGGCTTCATTTGTGGATAGTGGGAGGAAGTAGAGACACGACAATCATCTTTATTCAAAGTCTATGATCAGACCCTGAAGTAACTAAATATTTTCAAACGGAGGAATTAAGTCTGTGTTCATGGAGTATTACTATTGTTATTTTAGCAGTATCCTGTGCATTAAAAAACCTGACATACCTCCACTCTAAGCACCATCATGAATCTGTGGAGTGTTTCCCCCTCACTTTCAATTAGAAATACTGTACATCCACATGGTTACAGTGCAGCATACTGCACAGAAGGGCCTTGTTAGCTGAACCTGTGGCAGCTTTAGACGCTGGCTGGTAAATGAACATGACTCGATGGGTCGAGCGGTGCAATGGAGTCAGGTGGCTTTGATCAGCCTGGTGCTTCCTCGGGCTGTCTCTGCAGCACTGCCCGCACTGCGCTCCAGTGGACAGGAACAGTGTGCTCACACACACACACACACACCCTTCCCCTCATTTGACAAGCTGTGTTTTATCAGAGTTATCAAGCGACACGTTATTAGCCTCGGTATGATTCGGCCTGGCCGAGTACAGAGAGACATCTTTCACTCATGAAGTAAGTGGACCTGGCAGCCATGGAGACACCGGGCTGAGATTAGAACGTCTCCTGCTCTGCCCTTAGCTGCCACCCATGTAATTCATCAGGGCAGCTTCCAAATATGTTGGCGTGAGGTTTGCAGATATCACAGTGCACTGCATCGAGTTGGACTCCAGGCTGTAAATTCTGATCTGCAAGAGATAGATAGGAAAGTCCTGCAGGCGGCAGGATGTTCACTGTCTGCATTTGCAAAGTTTTCACTGAGTCCTCACAGCAGACAACAGTGATCAATGACTGTATATAAAGATGGACGACGCAGCTCCACTTCCTCCTACTGTATGAAAATGAAGTGTAAATATCCTGCACAGTAGTGGTCATGGTATGGAGATGCTGTGCAGAGGTCCTGTCAATACGCCCTTTTGACCAGTTTTATAACACAGAGTAACTAATTAAAACCATCAGTGTTACAGAACTACCGAAACTTACTAAAAACATCTTTGGAAAAACTTAGTTTGATTTATAGGTTACTGACTTTTTAGTCCACGTCCCATCTGCTAACATGGATGAGGCGGGTTTATGGCCTGTAGCTTACACCAGGGGGCGATCAAGATGATTTGGCTGCAGTTATGTGAGTTGCTGTACCATAATGCAAATAGTTTAAGCCCATTATAATTATATTTTCATATTTATATTTCCAGTTGTGTGTGTTTTTTTTCCACTATAAAACATAGAATCTCAACCACACACACATCATCATCATCACTCACATTGAGTACTGAGTGAGTTTTGCTGTCTACTTTGTTATTTATCTTCTTAATTTAAACAAGGTCTTATATATTCATCAGCACAGCATCATGAGAAAACAAGTGCCATGTGGGTCAGTAGGTAGCAGGGCTCACAAAGAGGAGATAGAAGCTAAATCTTCACTGGGGCCAGTGTGGAGTAATATTTGTCTCTCGACCCCGTTCTGGAAAACATGAAATCTCAAGAACAGTTTTCATTTCGAGGATGGCCTGGTTAGAATCTGGTGGTGAAAGGTAAAAGGCCAAGGTTCAAGTGACCCTACTTAACCCATTTTTGTTCTGGGGAGAGCAATAATAGGCCTCACAAAATATATTTTTGGCCTCTTGAACATCTTGATCCAATTTAGACCAGTTTTCACTTGGACTCAAAGATGAACTGATAAAATTTTAGTTGTCAAAGGTCCTGGTGACCTCATACGAGTCTAGAAATAAAATGCATGTATGCTGAAACTGCACTGGTTGACAGAGGTTGTCGATAAAATGCACTTACAAACACGTGTTACAATACCAAGCCTCTAAATATTGTTTCATTCCTCCCTTACTTCCTCTTTCTCACACATTTTCAGACGCTGTGAGCGGACCAGCTGTCCCAGCAACTCCTTGGACTGTCAGAAGACTCCTGTGCGGATCACGTATTACCAGCTCAGCTTCCAGACCAACATCATCATCCCAGCACAGATCTTTCGAATCGGACCCTCGCCCGCCTACTCCGGTGACCACGTCGTCATCAGCATCACCAAGGGCAACGGGGAGGGCTATTTCAGCACCAGGAAGCTAAACAGCTTCACGGGCGCCGTCTACCTGCAGAGGCAAGTGCGCGAGCCCAAAGACTTTCTCATAGATGTGGAGATGAAGCTGCTGAGACAGGGGAAGCAGACCTCCTTCCTAGCCAGGATATACGTGTTCATCACAACCAGCACTATGTAACACCAACGTGACAAAGAGACGATTTCGTATGGTGCTAAGAAAAAATTATGTGCACACCCTTTTTATAATGCCTCCCCATATTCAAAGTTATACAAGTATCTTGTAAAATTTCTCTGACAATCATGTTTCCTGATAAACCAAAGTAATTTTCTGCTCGACTCTTGCTCCCGCCACTATGCACCAGTGTTGTTATGGTCTGCTGGAGTTGTTTGTTGGCTTGGTGCTGCACAGGTCACTGCACAGGTCTGGGTTGGTGGTTTGTGCTCTGCTCTATTCTCTGTTAACCCCCACTCTTACCTCCCTTTGTAAATCTAGGTTTTCAGTACAATGATTCCTGGAACCCTCTGCAGCACTAGAAGTTAAGGGCACTTGTCACAGTGTAGGCCCAAAACTGACTAAATGTACTGAAAGTTCAAAAATAAAACTAAAATGAAGTGTTAAGATAAACTGATTTATATTTTCCTTTAATCTCTAAACAGATGGTTCAAAAAAACTAATCAAATAAAGTAATTTATTTTCTGTCATTTCACTTTAAGTAAATATAATAAATAAAAAACTATTTGTTTTACTGTAGTGTTTAGTTTATTATCTCCATTTTTACTCTTTACTCCAAGTTTCTTTGTCTTATTTTATAATTGTATCTGACTTTGATCTGGCTAAGGACAAGTTGTGTGTGTGTGTGTGTGTGTGTGTGTGT